GAAGTTTAGAAAGCTGTCCAGGCTAACAAAACCAACCAACCAGTTGCTGTCAAGTCAATTCCAACTCATGGCAACCCCATGTGTGTCAGAGTAGAACTGTGTTTCATGAAGTTTTCGATGGCTAATTTTTCAGAAGTAAATCTCCAGGCCTTTTTTACAAAGCACCTTTGTGGACTCAAACCTCCAACCTTTTGGTTAGCCAAGCGTGTTAACCACTTGCACCTCCCAGGAATTCCTAACAGAACTAGCATGTGCCATTTCCAGGACTCAAACTAGACTGTCAGGTCGTAGAGTTCAGTCATCTAACACTGTACCATGTTATTGCCTACATGGGACATTCATTTCTAATTAGATTACATTCTATTTTCCATGGAATACTGGTATATGAAAAGTTAAACCACACTACATTAAAAAAAAAAAAAATCGTTTTAGCCTTTCAGAGTCCCAATCCTGGTTCATCCTGACCTCCCAGTCCTTTCTTTATAAGATTAGTCACTTTTCTATGCACTCAAGCCTAGGACTAAACAGCTTTATGAAATGAAGTCAGTCAGGTTTCTGCTCTATGGAAAAGCACTCTCAGGGTTCTCCATGAGTCGCTGCTGTTCTCAGAATAATGTCCTAACTAGCATCTTTATGGTCTGACCCCCTCCTTTCACCTCTGTTCTCATTTCTTGCCACTTCTCCCTTAGCATTTCACGCCCCCCCAATGCCACATTACCTAGAGTTCCTTGTGTACACGAGGCTATTTCATTCTGCGTCTCTGCGCGCGTTTTTACCTTTGTCTGAAATGTGTCTTACCCCTGCCCCCACCTACCTGGGAGCTCCTGATCACTCCTCAAAACCTTGCTCTGGTTCCATCTTCTAAGAAGCCTTTCCCAAGCAACGCCCCTTGCCCCTTCCAAGCAGACCTGCATACTCCCACCTCTCCACAGCCTGTGGCCAGTAGGCATGTCAATTACTCTATAAACACAAGATGTTTGTGCTTACCTCCCCTACTAGAATATCCTAAACTCCTTCGGACAGGAAGATCTGTATACCCAGCACAAGCCTGACACTATGATTGCCACTCATTTGACAATGCTGACTGTTTTTAAATGCTGCTTTTACAGCTTCATATTCTCTGCAATTTTCAAAACAAACAAAAAGTAAAACAATACAAATATTTCATGTAATTCCAAAGAACCCATTCTAATCACACACCCAATCCTTCCCTACTAGTAAAGATCGCATTCTAAAGCGTACCCAACTAGCTTCAGGTTACGTTCTCCCCTCCTCTTTATCAAGGTGCCCTGGTGGCTTTAAAGCGCTCAGCTGCTAACTGAAAGGTCATCATTTCAAACCTACGAGGAGCTCCCTCACGGGAGAAAGATGTGGCAGTCTGCCTTCATAAACATTTAAAGGCTTGGAATCTCTGTGGAGCAGTTCTACCCTGTTTTATAGGGTCACTATGAGTCAGAATCGACTCAACGGCAACAGGTTTGGGTTTTTGCGGGTTTTTTTCTTTTGGTTCCTCTTTATCACATTCCAACAAGTCTTAGAAGGTATTTTATCTTCACTGTTGGGGCATTATTAAAGAAATGTCTTAGGCTTCTCAACAATCTAAAACCTCCCCTGTGTGGAAAAATGTTCACACCCTTGTGGCAAACATTTTCCCCTTTTCAGTAGAATGCATTAATTCCTAGAAATGTTATTCTGGTTATGATTTAAAATTTATGTACTTAAAAATATCATCAATACTTTTAACATCATGATGTTTAAATCTTCATTGATGCTGGGACTAAAAGCAGCAATATGCTTATATATGTATGTACATACATACACATATACACATAAAATGCATTTTTAATAATTAAAAAATATAGAATGATATAATTATTTTCCATTTCTAGCTGCAAATGGAGATAAGCCTGTGATCACAACACAGAATCTGATTAAAGCATAAACCAAAAAAAAAAAACCCCAAAAAACCAAAGGCACTGCCATCAAGTTGATTCCAGCTCATAGTGACCCCAAAGGGTCTCCAAGGCTGTAAAACTTTACAGAAGCATACTGCCACAGATTTCTCCTGAGAAGCCACTGGTGGTTTCGAACCACTGACCTTTAGGTTAGCAGCTGAGCACATTAACCACTGCACAACCAGGGCTCCTTTATTAAGCATATGTCACTCCTTACAGTAAATCAGGCATGTAGAGATTCATATTAACTCTTACTTATCCTAAGGGTGTGAGCGAGGATGCAGTAACTAACTAGTAGGTCTAAAGGAATGCTTCTACTTGTGGAACTTAAAAACATAATTATAAAGATAAGGTTACAACATCTTAAGGGAAAAAAAAATCACACAATCCCATCTTTCAGAACATCAACTCTTTTTTACCTTGTTGCTCACGGTCCTTGTAAACATACAAGCACATGTATCTTTTTATATAGTCTGTATACATTTTTATGATTTGCTACTTTTTGGTATGCCATTCATTTAACCAATCCTCTATGAAGGGACACATTAACTTTTCAGTTTTTCATATTAATAGTTAATGGTACATAAATAACTATGGGTAGGTAGCTCATTTTTTTTTTAAATCTATTTCTTTAGGATAAAAACTTAGATCAAGATTTTAATATTATATTTAAGTATATATAATGTAGTAAAATTGCTTTCTAAAAAATTATAATAATTTACACAGCCTCCAAAACTGTACCAAATTCATTAAAACTCTGGCAAGACTGGATCTTATGATTCGATCTCTACGCATGCTGACTTTAATGAATGTAAAATGCTATCTCATTGTTTTAGGAAGGCTTTATGTATTCTCCCATTCGTTTACTACTCTAAATCACGTATAGCTTAGAGGATAAGATGGCATCTAACTGGTACTGAATGAATTACATGTGTGAAAATTTTTGTTTACATTTTTATTTTATTATAATAAGGTCTATGAATTATAGCATTAGTGATCTTTCTACCTTATACCTTCTTTTAGAAAAACTGTCCTTGAAAAAGTGAAAAATGAAAAAAATAGTACATAGTTTCTCATCTGTGTCTTACAGTAAAGAATGACTATATATTCACATATTAAAATATCAGTGCTTTTATTATTTGTAAACATAAATTACAAGACAAAATTCATTCATCAGTAAGAAATTAAACAAATTATGAAGTAGTGTGTGTGTATACACACATACTAGCTTTATTATATATAATATGTACACATTATATTTCTACATACTAGCTTTATAATATGTATTATATATGTTTATAATATATATACACATAGTACTTTATAATATAAATTATATACACATATTATATTATGTATATATTATTAAAGCTACTATGTGTGTGTATATGTATCATCCATTTTCCCTTAAGCGTCAATGCAGTATCTGTTAGGAAGTACTACAAAGCCAAGAGGAGTCAAGCTGAAAAGTGAAGCCCAGGGTTTTACAGAAAGAGTGAGGAGTGAGGGAGTGTGTGGGTATGATGGGCTACTCTAGTTGTGGCAGTCAGGCAAGGACGTCCTTGCCTTTTTTTTAATAAAATTATAGTCTCATCAATGCTTTGGAAGTCAGCAGTCTTAGTCTTAGTGCCTTTTCCACTGATGCTAACATAGTAAATTCTTATAGCAGATAATTCTTTGTTCTTCGAACACAAACATTATTTATTCCTTTGTGTTCAACATACCCTTGTTTTAAGCACTACAGACAGTTAATTTAAGATTAGGTTTTGTTCCAAAAATTGAAAGCTACGTATTTGTTTATAACTCAAAGCATAATTTCAACACAGAAACAAGTTTTATTTGGACATCAGATTCATGGGCTAGTACACAGGAGTTTGTTTAATTGATAATATATCTGACTCGAGCGCTAATTATAAGTTTTCAACTACATAAAATTATTCTTTCCAACACCATTTTCCAGAGGGAGACTGCATTTACTGATCCTGAATGCCAAGAATCTATGGACCCCCTCACCACATGGGGCTCTCTCAGGAAAGGCACCAGAGGATATTTCATAGGCAGAAATGGACATTTACATCCAGACTTAGCTGTCAGACAGAAATCTAATGTGTTTGGGGAGAGAAATGTGTCAGGTTAGTTAGTAGAAACACAATGTTAAATTAGAGAATTCAGGGGAATTATGTATAAATCAGCAAGACACAGTAGAAAAGCCAAGGAGTAAACTGCTTAATATTTACATTCCCATGAACACAAAAGTGTGAACTGGGAATGCAGTTGGAGTTTTGACTAAATACAGCAGAAGGAACAACATGTACGTCTTGGTTGCCTTGGTAACAGGGCCCATTCCTCATGTTAATGATTCTATAATAAGAAAAGAGGCTTTTAAATGAAGTGCATTGTAAACATGGGTAGAGCAACAGGTGTCTAGAGTAGAATTTAGGGCCGCCCAGGGATGAGTTCCTGGGTATTACAAATGGTCAACACGCTTGACTACTAACAAAAAGGTTGGAGGTTCGAGTTCACCCAGAGGCACCTTGGAATTGAAAACTTTATGGAGCACAGTTCTACACGAGTCAGAATTGACTTAAAGGCAAATGTTTTTTGTTTGTTTTAGGGGTAGGTGGAGTCTGTGTGTTGGTGGACATAGATGAGTTCATGAAGTGGAAGGTCTGGATTACCGACAAAGTCCTGACCTGAATCTCAGTGTTTGGGAGCTTCCCTGGTATTACAGAAGCTGGTGAACCTCTCAAGTCTTGTATAGTAATGTAAATAAACTAACCTCCTATGCTTTCTGATAATGTTGTGTGGAAGGAATCCCCCTATAGGAGAGCAGATAGGAAAAAGAACCTCAAGCACCTGCCTAAGGCATAGGAGGATAAATATGTGCGTAACAGAACAAAACTTTCAAACCGAAAAGAATTTCTTTAATAGTCCCACATTAAAGGAAACAAACTCAATTGTCCCATAGTGGTAAAGTGGTAAACTATGTGGGGAATTTTTCACTCTAATATGTGGATAATAGTATATATATTTTTCAAAACTTACCTCTAAAAGCACTAATATCCCCATAGTGCACCTGTAGTACAAAATATTTACTTCCAGTATCTCCTCCAACTCTGAATCCAACACCTAAAAATTTACAAAAGAGAAAATAATATTTCAGAAATAATTTAAAAATAAATATTAAACAAATATTTTAAAATTAATATAATAAAATAATATTTTAAAATGGAAACAGATTAGCTAATCTCCAGTTGCTGAACTATGAGATTCAAGGGGGAATAAAATAGCATATAGCATGAAGTTATGTTATACGAAAACTGAAATAAACTAAGCATTCACTGAAAATTTCTCATATAATCAATTGTTCTCAAAGCTCTGATGGAATTCTATTCATAGTTTCCACTTCAGAACCAGAATAATCGCTTATACTTTAAAATGATAATTCATTCATTTTGAAACAAAACTAACTAAAACAAAATTCTGTCCTTGTTGGTGAAAGGTACAGACATAAAAAATATTCTCTCATTTTGTTTTTTATATATTCACATTCATTTTTATGTTCTAATTCATTATAGTAAATAGACTCTTTAATCTCAAAATTACTTTTCTCCCCATATGAAAACAAGTATCTGCAAAAATTTCACTAAGGAAACCAACTGTATAACAAAGTTCAGTGTGTCGGTGAATTTTTGGAATCCTAATAGTCTTATTATTATTAGAGTTTGCTAGTAAGCTAAGAAAAAAAATCTACAGAGAACATATTTACAGGCAGGGAAAATTTTTTTTTCTATCTGCTCTACTAATGGATCTTAAAAATGTTAACAAATCTATGACAGACCCACCTACTAGTTTCCAAACTGTTTACTAGCAGCTGCCTGGTAAACTTTAGAGAGAATCCTGAGGCTCATTTGAAGCAAAGCAAAACAGTCATCAATTAGTGATGATGGTAAGAGTTAGAGAGGCAAGAGAGCATATGCATCACACATGACACTGTCCCAGAACCATGACAAAACTGTTCCATGAGAGAACTGTGAGGCACAATCCCCTTAATATTAAGAAACATTCAGGTAATAAAAGAAAGTCTGGTAATTCACTCACACATTGGAAGCTGTGAACAGTTTAGAGGTGAAGTCAGAAAGCCAATAGAAGTTTGCCTTTCTAACAAGTTCCCAGGTGATGCTAATGATGCTGGTTAGTGACCAATTCTAAGAATCACTAGTAGAAGAGTGGTTCTCAATATTTATTATACATAAGAATCACCTGGGGAACTTGTTAAACTGTAGATTCTGATTCAGTATATCTGGGATGGAAATGCAAATTCTCAGCTGGGGTTTGAACCTGGGGTTCTGAAGCCCTGGGCATCACGTTATTACTTAGGTTCCAGGACTATAAAAAAATAAAAAAAGAAACTCTGCTGATACAGCAATTTATTTTATTCCTAGCTCTCTTGGCTCATAAAATGCTCAACTTGTCAAGAACCAATGTGCCTTAGGCCAAAGGTGGCTTAAGGTATATTTGGTTATTTTCTAACTCTATCTAAAACGTTGTGCAGGCAAATTACCAAAGAGAGGCAGAGAAAAGAGTAACTACTTAAATGAAAACTTTTAAATACAAAGCAGGTGATGCCAGTACTTTTAGTATGAAATTGCAATAAAGAACACTGTTAACAACTGTTGGAAAGGACTATAATAAAAAGTACTTTGGAATCAGAAATTAGTAGCTTAAAGTAAGACTATCCAAAAGGCCTCTAACATACCTTTAGGGAGTCTGGTGGGGGGAGCATTTCTTGCCCAGGCATATAAAATATTGGCTTTATCTGTACAGGTTCCTTCATCACAAAACCTGGAAAAACAAAAAAGTTATAATGAAGATTCAAGTAGTGAAATGCATAAGTCAGTCCACACTGGGGGAGGGGATGTATCTGAAAGCAAAAGTACTGTACATCAATATTATCACCATTGTAGTCATATCAGCTTTAAGATCTAAAGAATAATTTCTATGAGAAAAGCACGTATAAAGAGAGGCTTGTTGTTATTTTATTTGCATTCATGCCTGATAGTGATGCAATCCCATCAGGTTTATATACAGTTAATACTTTGATATGTTCATAATCAGGTAGAAAAATAAACATTACACAGAGATTCCGTATAAACCAGAGTGAATGCAGTAGAACTCTGCAAGTGGACTAGAGGAAATGAACACACTTCCCCTTTGGGGGATCAGTGTTACTGTCCGTTAACGTTTAGCCACAGCAGCAAAAAATACACAATGCTTGACACTCAGTAGGGTGAACAATACAAGAGCACCCCACTTAAGTGGATCTTGATATTACATATGACCTTTCTTAAGTCTATGAACACTGGATGTGCCTTTATGAGCTGTTTCTTGTTGTGCAAATCACTTAATCTTACCGAGCCTCAGTTTTCTCTCTCGTAAAACAAGGATAATTATACCTACCTCACAGAGTTAGTGGATCAAATGAGATATAATGAAAGCACTTTATAAACCTCAAAGCACTACACCAGGGTAATGCATTATTTAACAAAACACTGACTTTATCTAAAGATTCATTGTTGAGAGACAGTGTTATACGGTGAAAAGAGCACAAGTTGAACCCCAGAATGACCTCTTAGTAGAGATGCACCATGGACATGTTTATAGGCTCTCAAAGGCCCAACCCCTGTATGGAAAACTCTCTGATATGGCTGTTCAGTTATGATGTGTGTAAGGTGCCCAGTTCGGTAACTGGAACATTTGGTAGATCCGATGCAGTAAATGTTAATCTGTGTGACTCCAAATCATTCATTTTTTTTCCATTGCACGCTACTGCCTCAGTATGTTCTGATATAGAATTGGATTTGTTCAAAAACACCATTAAGCTAAATGTTTACATTGCTTTTATATGTTTGTGTTTTGGAAAATTGGGAGCAAGCAAGATCAGCATCAGGAGCATAGGCAGATCTGACAAGTTCGGAGACTATCAAGGAGAAGGACAAGGACAAGGTCCAGTACAGCTTCTTGGACAGGAGGTTGGCTCACATAGGAAAAAATGTGCACTGCCATAGCCTGCAAGGGAAGTAAAGGCAGACTGTGGCAGCTTTCAAAACAGGTTAGAAACTCAGGCTAGAAATCTGGCAAACATTCAGATCACAGATATGAAAACCACCAGTTAGAAGTACCTTGATATTCTAAGGCAGAACTCCTAACATGTTTTCTGCTTTTAGCTAGAAATGGGGTTGGAGGATGAGCAGTTTAAGTGCAAACACTACATTCCTATCTGAATAAAGGCATGAGGGACTGGGAACCAGGAGGTCCTGATTAGGTTATGCTTAGCAAATGCTCTTGCTTCTATAAATCAGGCCGCAGAAAGAGACTGTGTAATGTGTAATGTAAAACACATCAACAAGTGGTTACTTATGGTTCACTGTCAAGAACAATATACTTATGATGAAGGATCATGACCACGTGAGGACTATGCTTTGGAACAAGTATCTGTGACATCTTTGTGCCAAGTGTGCTAAAAGGCTTATGGTGTTGGACACTGCCCAAAAGCAAAATTTTCTTCCTTGGCCTCATGCTATAGCAGTTAAAGAAATGAGATTGTCAGATGTAATGAACTTTGTATCTCACTGCTGTGAGCTACTAAAATTTAAATATCTGAGTGGCCATTTTCATAGCTTTCAACAAAGATCATAAATATACAAGTGCTTAACATCAATGTGATGACAGGCTTAGGTTAAACAAGATAATTGTTTCCTCTGATATGGTAGTCGATTTAATATGTGACTAGAAAGTACCAGAATGAAATAGAGAAAATGGGTTTAGTAAATTTTTCTAAGCCACACATTTGATGATGTCATTCTCTGGCTCAAAATCTTTCAACTGGTTCCCAAAAATAACATGAAAATAAAATCCACACATTGTAGAAGACCATATAGACCTTTCATAGCCTGGGACCTTGTTATAGCTCCAGACAAAACCTCTTTTTTAGTTATGCCAAGTTGCTGGCAATTTCTAATCTCTCTTCTCCACTGTTACCTCTGTCTGGAATACCCCTTCGCCATCTCATTGCCTCACAAACTTGTACTCATCTTCTCCTTCAAGATTCCACTCAAGTTTTCCTCCTCAGGGAAGCATTCTCCAATCTCCCTCCCTCCAACTTCCATTCTTTAATCATAGCACTCACTCCATGTATCTGTTTACTCATCTATCTCTCCAACCAGACTGTGAGTACTTTGAGGATTGGGGTCATGACTTCCTCTTTGTACTCCCAGCACCTGGAATCCTGCCTGGCATCTAGTGAATATTCAACAAATGTTTCGTGAAGCTTACCTCTAGGTGGATTTTCAGATTTTCCATGCATAAACAAATAATTGAATTGACCTAAATTTTACTGCACTGTCAAGTATTACTAAAAGATTAAATACCAATACATTATTATTGGTATTTAATTATTATTACCCTGATATTTTGTACAAATCAGCTTACCTTCACTCACACAAGAACACTGCAAGGAAGTTATACTTTACAGCTGAAGATCAGAATAACTTCCAAAGGTCACCCAGCCAAGCTATGATTCAAAGCTAGTGCTGTAACACCCCTTCGATCTCAATTTGTGAGACTGATTTATGGCAGAGAATGATATTATACAAAGATAAGCATTGATGATGACTATCTACTTGAACTAAGTTGCAATCTGTGTGTGCAATTCTAAAAGCAGACCTTAGACAAAATAAGTAGTTCTTCTGAGCTAGTCACAAAGAAACAACCATTTTATGTTTTATTCTCTTATCAGGTTTGGTAAAATAAGAGCTTCAAAAGCTAACTTTCATTTGATTTTTAAAATCCTGTTTTATGATTTTTTTTAAATTTATTAAACTCAAGACTGAGTAAAGAATGACTCATTGGAGGAAACTGGGACATTGAAACTAATTCTAAACCTTAATGGGAGAGAAGACTAAGTAAAGACGGAAAACAAGAGGCCAACAGAGCTGGGTTCCATAATTGACAATATGACTGAATGGCAAAGAGCATTTGAAAGAAATCCCTGCACCTCTTCATTTTCAGATTTCCATTTCCCATTTCAAATGAAAATTGCATCATATTTTCTCCACATAAAGTGACCAACATGATAAAGGTGGTATTATATTGTAGTTTTTCAAAAAAAGAGTTCTGCAATAATAGAGAGTCTTACTATTCTTATTAATAAGAAGTCTTAAGACCAGGAAGCAATGTAACTTTTGATCAATGGCTGTCATAATTTCAGGCCTCATCAACCAGGTTTCTTCTTTTTATAATTCTAACAGCTTCTCCTAAAAGCTCCTCCAGATTAAGCCAATTAAATTGCGAAAAGATTCACATAGCTCCCTTGTGGTTTCTTAATATACCTAGTGAAAATGATGAGAATTAACATTTGAAAATAAAACTATTCTGGTTTCTTAAACTGTTGCTTTTTTCACCTCTAATCCACGGGGAAACCATTCAGATGGCATGAATAGTTTCTGACTGTGCCAAGTACTGAAGAGCGCTAGCCTGTCATTTTGAATTACTATTCAAATAAAACATGATTGACTGTTAAAGTACTCTCTCGTTGTATCTGTTAAGGCTATTTAAAATCCAAGGTTACTCAGAGAAGATCAGAACTGATAACTCATTTTTTTTTTTTTGGCTAAAAAAAAAATTTTTTTTTTAATAAAACTGTCACGCCCTCAAGTTAAATGTGTTTGGTCTTAAATTCCTATTTTTAATGTATTAGGTGTCTAACAGAACCACAGCAGGAAAATTAATCTAAAGTTAAAAAGTTGCTTTAAGAAACACAATATAAAATCAGTGGCTTGTGTGGAATGTCTTTACCTTTCAAAACTGCATCAAGTATGAGTCAGGTATTCAAATCCCATTAACTGCTCTATAAATCCATACAACATTTTTCCCAATTCAGACAATCTTCTGTGTATTTCAATGCAATGGGTATGCATTAACATAGTAATTGGAAGGATACTAAATGGGAAAGCTTAATAAAAGCAGTGATTAAAAAGCACTAGCCTGATAAACAAACAGTACCACAGTATCCCTCCTCTCCAATGAGATTTTTTAGAAAACCCATTGGCCATCGAGTCAATTCTGACTCATAGCAACCCTACAGGGCAGAGTGTTACTGACCCATACAATTTCCAAGGAGCGCCTGGTGGATTCGAACAGCTGACCTTTTGGTTAGCAGCTAGCTGTAGCTCTTAACCACTAAGCCACCAGGATTTCCCCAATGAGATCACAGTGGCAACAAAATCCATAAGAGCAGAGGGTATGTTATGTTTTGTTCACACCAAATTCCCAGTGCATAACCGTCCTTGGCTCATAAACACTTAGCTAATAAATACTTTATTAATAAAAGAATAAAGATGGTAGCAGCCAATTATTTACTTCTATGTGACAGGTACTATGCCAAGTATATTACTTACATCATGTCATCTTTATGATGGCCCAATCAGACAGTCTTAGTATTCCCATTTTACAGATAAGGAAACAGGTGAATATATAAGTGAAAGTCATTTGGCCAATGTTTATTACAAATATCAAGTAATGGAGCTGAGATTTGAACCCAAGACTCTCTGATTTCAAAGTTCTGGCTTTACGGTAAATACACTACACTATGCTATAATAATACTGCTATTCTGTTTAACTTAAATACTAGTCTACGTTGCCAGTTCAAATCCACCAGCCACTCCTTGGAAACTCTGTGGCAGTTCTACTCTGTCCTATAAGGTCACTATGAGTCGGAATCGACTCAACAGCAACGAGTTTAGTTTTTGGAGGATGGAATAATGTTCAAAATTATGTAGTGTTTG